TCGAGTGGTTGGGACTCTGTGCTTCCATGGCAGAAGGCACAGCTTCTATCCTTGGTCGGGGAACCAAGATCTCAGGTTCCATGTGGCATGGCCAAAAAAAAAAAAAAAATTATAGTCTGGTTGGGAAGATAAGACATACACAGAGATAGAGATATACAGTGGTCAAGCAACGAGTGCGGGCAGTTCTATGACAAGTGGGCAGAGTGCTGAGGGTGAGGGGGACTCTTTCGACTGGGGAGTCAGGAAAGGCATCATATGGGGAAAGACAGAAGCTGTAGTTGGAGGTTTCAGGTGGAATTCAGCTAAGGAGGAGAGAAATGAAGCGCCCCTAGTGGGCATATCCTTGTAGCAGAACCAATATTTTGACTGCAATATTTCTGAATCTCTGCCTATTGTCCCCAGTTCAGATTTTTTTTTTAATTGGAGTATAGCTGATTAATAATGTAATAGCTTCAGGAGCACAGCAGAGTGAGTCAGCCATTAATGTACATGCATCCATCCTCTCCCAAACTCAAAAAAAAAAAAAAAAAAATTATAGTCTGGTTGGGAAGATAAGACATACACAGAGCTAGAGATACACAGTGGTCAAGCAATGAGTGCGGGCAGTTCTATGACAAGTGGGCAGAGTGCTGAGGGTGAGGGGTACTCTTTCGACTGGAGAGTCAGGAAAGGCATCATACGGGGAAGGACAGAAGCTGTAGTTCGAGGTTTCAGGTGGAATTCAGCTAAGGAGGAGAGAAATGAAGCGCCCCTAGTGGGCATATCCTTATAGCAGAACCAATATTTTGACTGCAATATTTCTGAATCTCTGCCTATTGTCCCCAGTTCAGATTTTTTTTTAAATTGGAGTATAGCTGATTAATAATGTAATAGCTTCAGGAGCACAGCAGAGTGAGTCAGCCATTAATGTACATGCATCCATCCTCTCCCAAACTCCCCTCCCATCCAGGCTGCCTGGTAACATGGAGCAGAGTTCCCTGTGCTATACAGTAGGTCTTTGTTGGTTACCCATTTTATTTTATTTTATTTATTTATTTTGGTTACCCATTTTAAATACAGCAGTGTGTACGTGTCCATCTCCAAATCTCTAACTATTCCTTCCCCTTCCAGTTCAGAACATTTACCAGCTATATCCTTCTTTAACCTTCCTCACTGTTCTGCTTATGTTGCCTCTACCAGACCCCTGCCATTCTGGACATAAGGGACGTAAGGAGGTTTACTCTCCTCCAGATATAAACGCCTGCCCCCTGCTCAGTGCAGAAGCAGCAGGAGGCATGAGTTAAGCATACTGCCAAGTCTTCTGCTGGAAGATATCTTTTAGGACGAACATAATCAGGGGAAATTTTTTCTCCTGCTGGGTAAACCTCACCAAATGTTTTCTGCATCTCATTACGAGACTTTCTCCTTGACTGTCAGTGTGGATTTTCCTTTACAATCATTTCAAGTCCACATATATGTAGGCTATCCTAATAATGAGTAACAAAACCGGGCAATAGAGGAAGTAATGGAAAGCAGGAGGCTGGCATAATCCGTCAGCTACTTCTCCAGTCACAAAATCATTGAGAGTTGCCTGTATAAGAAAATGAAGAATTCTTTCCTTTTCTTGTGTAGCTGCAGCTTTTTCAGATGGTCAGAGTTGCAAGACTTCAACTCTTGAAGGAGCATTTCCTGAACTTCTCTCTCCCAATAGAGAGGCCCACCTGCTTTTGCATGATGGGAAAGCCTTTGCAGGGTCAGGCACGTAGGCACTCAAAGGACATTTGTTGAGTGAAGTAAAGAAATGAATGCAGGTGTTGGATATATGTGATCAGGTCCGTCTTCTTCTTTTTTTTGCTTGCACTGGGTCTTTTTTGCTGAGTGGGCTTTTCTCTAGTTGTGGTCAGCCGGGGCTGCTCTCCAGTTACAGAATACGGGCTTCTCATTGTGGAGGCTTCTCTTGTTGCTAAGCAAGACCTCCAGGCACTGGGCCTTCAGTAGTTACGGTAGACAGGCTCAGTAGTTGTGGCCCATGGAGCTTCGTTGCCCTGCAGCTGGCGGGTTCCTCTAAGACAAGGAATCATCCCACGTCCCCTGCATTGGCAGGCCGATTCTTAACCCCTGGATTACCAGGCAAGTTCTGTGTGTGTGTGTATGTGTTAAGTCCTGGGGTCAGTCTTTATATTGTCCAGTTTTATGGTTCCCATTTAGTCAATTACTTGAATCTATGAGTAGTTTTAGAGGCTCAAAAATCTTTCCAATGTATGCTCTGTCCTTACACGCTACATGTTGACAATAAATAAAGTGCATAAAAACTGAGCAGCTCTGTTTCCTGTTTGAAAACAAGCTGCTTTCAAATCTAGGTCTCCCAGGGCATATTAAGTTGAAAAAACAACTGCTAGTTATTTTTCAACTAGCTAGAAAAACCATAAAATATTTCTCTCTGTACTTGTTTCGTTTTTCTGATAAGAGAGGAGATAAGACCCAGACATTCTCAGCAGTTTCTGACCTATGAAAAGATTTTAGTTCAAGAGGACCTTAACTGTAAGTCCAAAAGGCATTGCAACACCTTTTTGATGTTACTCAGATCTTGGGTGTCATGCCCTCTTCATGAACTGAGAAACACCTGTTCCTACTTGCCAATGCTGAATTGGGGATTCCTGGGCTCTGTAAGTGTTCCCAGAGCTGGGCCTGGCGTGACACACCTGCTCAGATTTGTAAGGAAGGACCACAGAGAAACAGTTCCTCTCTGAATGACCTAACTTCCAAGAGATTGATCATTGTTTTCAGTGTTAAGAAGTCACATAAAAAAAAAAAAATAAATAAAAAGCAGAGTCCTGCTCTCAATGCACTCTAGAGAGGGCACAGCTGTAACAAGGAGAATAACTGACCTTGGTCTAAGACAGATGGAACCACGAGGACTGAATCCCTTTTCGGTGTCTAGCTCTGGACATCAGCAGACGCAGGCTCTGCTGTTTACAGCTTGGCCTGTGTGCGCACACGTTTCGCAGCCCTTACCAGATAGCTTTGACTTTTCTTTCCACTTGGCTAAGGTTTAATCTTAGCTGGCCGTCTGTGCTGAATGAGTTCCAGTTGTCCTCTTGCCCATGTAGTCTCCGCCCTTCCCCACCCAGCCTGTCTGCCAGGAGGCTGCCCTTCGAGGACTGCTCTCACTCGGCTCGCTAGGTCTCTGGCTTCCTAACGCGCTCAGTCCATGGAAAGCCCTGGAAGGAGATGGGAGGACAGGATCCTGCTTACCCCAGCTTCTTTCCTAGGAGGTCACTGAAGATCTCTGCCCAGGCAGGTGGCCTTCCCTTTCTTTTTGTCTTTGGATGCTGGAAACAGCCCCTTTAGGCCTAGGGTTGACCATGACGCTCCCTGGTGCAGTAGCCCTAGGTTACTCCTCTGCCCCTTGTGGTTTATGTGTTCACATTTAAATGATTCCTTTAACAAATACACCTCAGTTTTCCATTTTGGAGTGTGCCACCTGTTTCCAGATGGGACCCTGCCTGATTAGGGCAGTCTAAGGGAACCCAGGGTGAGGTGCAGTCCGATTTCTGGGGGCTCTCTGCAACCGCCATTAGAGAGGGGCGACCGGCACGCAGGAGTGGTCTGTCCAAGTGTGGGATAACCCTGGGTAAGCTGCCTTTTCACTCCCAGCTCTGTTTCCCAATATGTAACAAAAATGGTGTAGACTAGACGACGGCATGTTCTCTTCTGGATCTAACATCAGGTGGCCTGCGTGCTCCTGTCTGACTCTTCGGGACCCCGTGGACTGCAGCCCACCAGGCTCCTCTGTCCAGGGGATTTCCCAGGCAAAGCCCCGGGCCAGTACAGGCGGGCGGCCTGCACACACGGAAGGTTCCGCGAGGCAAAGGCCTGGAAGCGCAACCCCGGGAAGAACGCAGGTCTGGAGGTCCAGTCCCGCGTTTTAACCCTTCGGACCTTGTTTTCTCGCCAGCAATGGGAGGAGGGTGAGGGGAATCGATGAAAAGGCACGGATCCAGGCAGGCGCCCGAACTCAGGTACCTACCCCGACCTCCGCCCGGAATTGCCGGGCGCGGAAGGCGCGGGAGAGCGGCTCGAACGGCGCCGCGTCCGAGTCCGGGATGCACGGCGCCGGGGCGAGGGGCGGGCCCACGGCGATTGGTGGCCAGTCCTCCGCCGCGGGCCAATGGGCGGCAAGGGCGTCCGCGGGGGGCGGGGCAGCAGGCGCATCTTAAGCTCTGTGACGCGTCGCCGTCGCCGCAGCTGCTCCGTGGACGCCGCGTGTCCCCGGTCTGGTCTTGGAGGTGCCGCCAGGTATCCGTGCGGGGAGCCGCGGGGTCGGGGTCGGGGCCGGAGCTCGGGCAGGGGCCGGGCGCCCTGGGCCGCGGCGGGGCGGGGCGAGGCGGGCGTGAGCGGCTCGGGTCCCAGGTTGCGGGGAGCGTGTGGAGGGGGTGCGTTGGGCCTCCACCCGGAGGGCAGGCTCCTCCTGCGCTGCGGCTTTGCGCAGCGGGCCCGGACTCCCGGGGCATCTGGGGCACGGGGAGGGGGTTGGCCCGGAGAGCCGCCAGCCCGCGCCCAATCCGGGAGGGCAGGACGCGGCGCATCCCGGCCCGGAGGCAGGAGGACGAAGAGGGAGGCTGTGGATGTGGCACCTCCGCCTGCCAGAGCGGGCGGAGCCGGGCGGCCCGGCGCTCCGCCTCCGCCCTCCCCGGCCTGCAGTCCCCCTATCCCGCGCCGGCGCCCCAGGCGCTCCAGGGTCCCTGCGCCTCGGCCTGGAGCCTCTCGGGCGCCTTGGGGGTTTCCGGGAGGAGGCCTTTTAGGGCGCCGGCGCGCGGGGCGGGACGCATTTTGGATACGCGGGATTGCTCGGTAAACCCATGGATTTTTACCTACGAGAGTGGGGCGCGCCGACTCTTTACTGAGAAGGGGTCCGAGCCCACCCGGGCGGGTCTGCCCATCTCTTCCCCTCCCATAACCTATCTCCTTTTCTCCTCCAGTCTTTGTTCAAATAAACCATCAGGCAGGTAGAGCCTTACCGTGGCGTTCAGGTTAACTACGCGATGTCAAGGGGTTGGGGTCCACAGAACTTTGAGCACGAAGACGTCATCTTTCGCGTTTCTTCGCCAACAGTGCTACGTTCTGGTTGAATTGCGTGGACACCTGTACTCAGTTACTACCGTCTCCTCCCTTTGTTACCGTATCTCTTACCTTCTTGAGGTTCAGTTTTCACCTCTGATAAGGTGATAAATTAAGGGGGGGGGGAGGGGAAGTGACTTTGGAATGAAGTGGCTTTAAGAAATTCCTTCCTTCCCAATTCTCAGTCTCTCCTTCAGAGTTCTAAGAGTTTCTATAGGGAAACTGGTTCTCTCCGTTGGAACCTGGAACTGTTCTTTAGGTATGTAATCTGCGCTCTTCATCTTAATCCGCTGGAAACAATAGCCTTCTTTCATTAGAATATCCTGGTTCTGTCTTCAGAAAATCTAGTTCCTGACTGTAGCATCCTGGTGGGAAAGTAAAATCTTTTAGTGAGGTTTAAATAGTAAAGCTTACTGTTTTGGGATTGCAGTTTTTCATGGTGCTCAAGATTAGTTTTCTGCTTCCCAAAAGACCCAGTATAACTTGGAAAGGTAAAAATTCTGAAAAAGACTTTTTTTTTCCCCCCTCAAAGAGGCTGTATTTGTATTTCCACCCATACTCTGCCTTTATTATTGTGGGCATATTTTACGCCCTTTACTGAGTTCCCAGGAATGGGTGAAATCCACATTTAAAGATAGTGGTGAGTGGATTTTGGAGGGATGGGTGAAATCCACATTTAAAGATAGTGGTGAGTGGATTTTGGAGGTGTGTGGAGGGTTTGACCTAACTGAGCCAGTACTTTTTCAGTAGTAATGCTTAAGGTGTTTGCCAGTGACGCACTTGAGTTGACTCTGAGCCAGATTACGTAAAAAAAAAAAAAAAAACAAAAACGGGACAAACCCCTAAACTTTTGTTGGCAGAACTTTCCAAAAAGGACTGTATTTGTGAATGGTTGCCTCAAGAAAAGTAAATATTTGACAAAGGTAGTAAAACCAAACTCTGTTCCTCCAGTGGAATATTTTAAGTGGCTTTCTGATGAATTCATGCTGGTTTTTCTTTTAGAATGATCTTAAAAAATAGTACTTCATAGTGTATGCTAAATTAACTCTTCAGAATGCAGCCTTTTATGGAATTCTATTTTAGGTATGTTCTAGTGTAGATAGGATGGATTGGACTGGTCTAATAATAGCTTGAAGAAGGACCTTGTTAATTATGTGTTTTACTGAAAATATTCAGTATTAAAATTTTTGCTGTCAGTAACTCTTTGTCCTCTTCTCCAGGAGCCTAGGTTAAATGCACAGCCTGGAGTGAACTGATCTAATGAAGGGAACTCTTGATGAAAAAATTTTTCTTGGTGATGTCATACTAGCCTCCTCTTCGACTCTACTCCATCCTTTAGGAGTGATTTAACGATCTCCTGGAGGGCCTTGCTATTTATCTGTCTTGATTCGCTCTTAAGTCTGTTTAGGAATGACCTCATTCACTCGACAGATAAGGAATGCCCAAACCTGGGCTAGGTTCTGGGGATGCAGAGTGAATTTTAAGACATAGTTACTGTCTTTTTAAGGAGTACAGGCATGAAAGGAGTACTGTCTTTTTAGGTGGACAGGCATGTGAGTGTCTTGAGGTGTTAGAACCTGTGACAAAAATCTGTGCAGAGGTCCTGGGAGTCATAGAAGGTCTGATGTGGTAAATTCAGTAGGGAAGTGTGAAAGGGAGCTAAGATTATAGTATTTATTCATAGAAACAAGATAAAAATGTTAGTGATTATCGTGGAAGTATGGAATTTCAGGTAATTTTCTTGTGTTCCTTATTTTTTATCAATAGAAACAAATTTTTAGAAGAAAAAAGCTCTAGTTTAAAAAAAGAAACCCTGGCACTGTTGACTTTTTTTTTTATATATATTGCAGAGATTAACTAATTTCCTTGTGAATTTAAGGCAAGAAGGAACTATTAATAATTGGTCATTTTGTGCTAGGTTTGGTGCTTTAACATTATCTCATGTAATCCTTAGTAATGGCCTTGAGTGGCTTCAACTTCATTTTGCAAGTAGGGACATTGAAGCTAAAAAAAAAACGGACAAAATCATCCAAATAAAGTTACTCTAACAGCCCCAGCTAGAATTTAAGTCCTGATTTTCAAACTCTGAGGACCTTATGGTCCACTCTTCTGATTTTCCAAGCCTTTCTGGAAAAGGAAATTGTTGATGCTGGCTATTTTTAAGCCCATCTTAATTCTCCTCTAATATTTCTTACTTTGTGCCAACCACAGTAACTTGAACACCGAAGGCTTTTTAATAGAAATGTGCTTACAGGATCCTAGTACATTTAATGCATTGAACAGCAGAACTTTTACCAGGTGAATTAAATATTCAGAGTTCATCTTTAAAAACCTTAAGCATGAACATTAGTAATGTTTTGGATGTTAATGTTAGTAAGTTGTAGTTATGAACTCGGCATATTTTGTTCCATTTCTTTTGCGAATGAGCTGAACAAAATGACTTGTATAAAAGGAAAATGTTCAATTCAAATAATTTCAAGGATTCCTTTCTCGAAATATTCTTGTTTAGAGAGGTTTTAGTATTTTTTTTAAATTAGCCCCCCCCCCCCCCCCCCCCNCACACCTGGCTTCTCAGGTGGCTCTAGTGTAAAGAACCCTCCTAATGATGCAGGAGATGTGAGTTCAATCCCTGGGTCAGGAAGATCCCCTGGAGGAGGGCTCAGCAACCCACTCCAGTATTCTTGCCTGGAGAATCCCATGGACAGAGGAGCCTGGTGGGGCTTCAGTCCATGGGGTGGCAAAGAGTTGGACGCTGAAGTGACTTAGCAAGCAGCTTTTTTTTTTGGTGGGGGGGAGTGTCTTCTGCCTTCTTTTTGGGGGCCCTACCTGTGCCGCATGCAGTAATCCTTGTTCCTTGACCAGGGGTTGAACCCATGCCCCCTGCATTGGGAGGGCAGAGTCTTAGCCACTGGACCACCAGGGAAGTCCTTATAAACGTAATTCTTGATCGTTAGGAAACATGGAAAATATAGAGCAGTGGAAAGGTAACCATAGTGAACTTCCTTGGGTATATTTTTTGGTAGAGTTGAACACTGTATATGTGATTGTATTTTTTTTTTCACTTAAACATATCATAAAAATCTCCATGTCATCAAAAACTAATTATTTTCAATAGCAATATGTTATTATGTGATTATGTCGAACTATTCTCATATTGTTGAACATCTTTATTAATGAATGTTTCAGTACATTCCTGAGTGTTGCTTTAGGATCTAATCTTGAGAGTGAAATTAGTGGTCTAAGAGCACAAACACTTTTATTTTAGTTGCAGTTCTTTTCAGAAAGTGTTCCAGTTAAAAGTATATCTGAGTAGCACTGTGTTTTTTGGTTAGTTTGATCAAGGTAGAAGTTAACGTGTTGCTCTTTAAAAAAAAAAAAATTATTTATCTGGCTGCATTGGCTCTTAGTTTCGGCGTGTGAGTGCTTTAGTCTTGGCATGCAAACTTTGAGTTGTAGCCTGTGGCTCCATGACTTAGGATCAAACCCAGGCCTCCTGCTTTGGGAGCACAGAGTCTTACCCTGAATCATTAGGAAAAGTACCTCGTTTTGACTTTTTAGTTGGTCAAACAGAGCACTAATTCTGACTGAGTCTCTACTCAAGCAATAGAGTTAAAATCAATGCTTTATAAAGACTTAGCATTTTGGGGAATTTCTCTGTCTAGTGTAACTAGAATTTTTGCTTTTTTGGCTAATGCCTATCTCCCATGAGTGATTCTTTTTTTTTTTTTCATGAGTGATTCTTATACAGTTGTTTTATTGTTGTTAACACGTATTTCTTTGAAATAAGATCTGGTAGAAATTAGGGATCTTTTCCTTAAAAAAAAAAATGCACTTATGCTTACAACTCTGCCTTTTATTTCAGGAGTCATTGGACCTTCTGAAGACATCCCTGGATCTCGGGTTAAAAATTCTTGCTGGAATCTCAACTGTGGGAAGAAGGGCTAGTTGGTGAGTCTTGGCACGTAAAGTGCTGGATTTTCTTTTAGTACATTCCTGAACATAACGGATTTAACAGCTAGTGCCAAGTGGAAAGCAAAGCAAGCCAAGTTCCAAGTATTAGCTTTTGCTAATTGGGCAGCTCCAACTGAATGCTGGAGATGTGCATGGCCTGACTTGTCATTAATAGCTTCTGTTGAAATGTGAGTTAATTGGTCATTTTAATAAAGCATAGGCGTATTAAGTATGCCTAGTGTTGGCAACTTTCCATTAATCTTGAAATGTATCTTTAAAAAGCATGGCCCCCTCCCCTGACGTGATTGCTCTGGATTGTCCCCAATTTCCTTGTTGTTATTCTTAGTTACTTCTACGGCTCCGTCTGTACGTCTGTACTACGTTGCGGCTTGTCATGACTGTTAATGATACAGTTGGCTACAAAGCCGGCTGCAGCGCTGTGGTGGGGGCTGGTTTTAGGGTTGGTGCTGTGGGCTGAGAGCAGCGATGACATTGGAATATATAAATAGATGGTCAGTAAATGTCAGTTTGCTCGTGATATTTAGGATTTATCACTATACTTCTCAGCTTGTAGTTTCAGGTGTTCTCGCTCCTGGTTGCCTTTTTCTCCTTCCAACAGTTGCTTCTGGGGGGTTAATTTCACAGAAGCAATCATCCGAGCAGAGTAGATGGTTTCTTTGGGAGCTGTAACTTTTCCTCTCATACTTGGTTTTGCTGTGCTTTTGGTCTGTTCCTCTTACTGTAAAAGCTCTTCAAAGGCTGTTTGTTAGAAATTGCAAAACTTTTCCCCCATCTTTGTTTATGATTATTTTAACCCAGAGACGATGTAGATAATTGTGGCTAAATAATAGATTTTACCTTTTTTTTGGTCATGCCACTAAGTGTATGGGATCTTAGTTCCCTGAGCAGAGATCAGACCCTCGCCCCCTGAGTCCCTGTATTTATTGGGAGTGTGGGGTTTTAACCACTGGAGTGTTTTTAGCCACTGTACCGCCTGTGAAGTCCCACAGATTTTACCTTTTGTAGTTTCTGTCTTTCCTGCATTAAACTTAGACGGCCCTTCCCTTCCCTTCCCCTAAGGAATCATTTTTCCACCCCACTGCATTTACTTTTACTTTAGGATGTGTCTGGTCCCTTTGTGGAAACCGAGTTCTTCCCTAATTTCCTCACTCCTTACGGGAGGACCAAGTTGATAGGCAAAGTAGTTCTCAGTGCCTCTGCCCCTGCCCCTGCCCCTGCCCCCTTGATCTCTAGCATCCCCCACCCCCCGCCCCAGGGCAGCCAGCATCTCTGATTTGGCTTGTGCCTTTGGGCTCTAATCTGAGATCCATCTGAGTCTCACACCCCCGCATAAATACCTTTCAAATGGTTGTTCAGCTCTTTGCGTGCCTGTGCTGTTGGCCCTGCCTGACCGCCTGACCGCCCCGAGCTTGTCAGGTGGTGCAGGCGGCTGTTTGGGGAAAGTCGAAGCAGGTCTGCTTTGCATGGCCTTCTGGCCTCCGGGGCTTATTTACATGTTTATCCGCATGTTTACCCTGTTGCCCTTTAGGTTCCCCAAAGGCAGGAGTCGGGTGTGTGTTCTCTTTTTTTTTTGGTGGTTTTTGTTTTTTTCATTTCATTTTTTCAATTAAAAAATTTTATACGCTTTTTAAATGTTGCTTTCCATTTGCAGTTAAGACCCCTGTTGTTCTCTCTTATTTTCCTGATTCTTTGGTGAGTGCTCCAAGTATAGTTGATGAGTAGACATTCACCCACCCTGTGAAGTTCCTTACCCTTTATGCCTTCTCTTTTCTTTGGACAGGTCGGTGATATTCCCACTTGAAGGACATCATGCTTTCCAAACTAGCACGTTTGCAGACTGTTGCTGGCCTTGGGCGTGGAGTTCATTCTTCAGCGGCTTCTGCTACATCTGTTGCAACTAAGAAAACCGTTCAAGGCCCTCCGTCCTCTGATTACATTTTTGAACGGGAATCTAAATATGGTGCCCACAACTACCATCCTTTACCTGTAGCCCTGGAGAGAGGGAAGGGTATGTTTTCACCCTGTCCACCAGCCCCGATTATTTGCTTTACCTTTTTGTAAAGCTTGCTATTATATTTTCTCACTGTACATTTTTCCAGAGGCATTTAATTTCTGTACTGCAGGCATGATTAATTCAACATCTATTGAGTGGTGCTTGCTGTGTTAGGTGCTGTGGGGAATGCGTGGTCATGATGGACTTGCCATGAGGGAATGTATAATACATGAGTAAAGTAGTATTATATTGTTGTCACTTTTTTTCCCTTTAACTTTTATTTTGGTGTGAAAAGCTGCCACAATAGCACTAGAATTTCTCTTTTATTGATCTTCACCCAGATTTCCCAAGTCCTTTTTTTCTTTTAATTGCACTTGCATAATCATCTTTGTCCAGAAACACACATACATTTTTTTTCCTTGAACCGTTTGAGAGGAAGTTGCAGACATGCCTCTTTACCCCCAAATATTTGTGCCTTTCCTGAAACACAAAGACTGTCTTACATAACAGAGTGTAATTATCAAAATCAGGAAATTCACACTGGCACAGCACTGCTCTCTAATCTACAGGCCTGATTCAGATCTCGCTTGCTGTCCTGTGTAGCAAAAGAAAACCTCAGACCATGGGTTGCATTCAGTTTTCAGGGCTGTTTAGTCTAATCCAGAATAATTCCTCAGACTTTGGCTTCTTGATCTTGATATTTTGAAGAGTACAGGCCAATAATTTTTAGCATGAACCTCCATTTGGGGATGACTGGTAAGGTGTAAAAAGCTTTTACTCCCACTTTTAGCATCCGTTAATGATTCTTGTCTGAATAAATGATTACTGATTGTTGCCAAATGGTGATTTAATCCATATTTTGAAATAGCAACCATTATCAAATCAAGCTGAAGTTTATCACTTATCTCTGGGCCAGAAGATAATACAGTCATTTGCCTATATATATTTTTTGATTTGGGACCAGTACTGTAATAAATAAAGCTCCTTCTGAACAGACAAAAATCTCGGTTTATATTTTACTGATTTGTAAAAATGTTCTTTACTTACAGTAGCAGAGCATGTGTCTAGAATCTGACTGGGTTCAAGTCCTGGTTGCGTGCATACCAGCTTGGGCTAGTTATAATCTAAGCATCTGCTTCTTACCTCTGTAGTGTAAGGATGGTACTCATAGAGGGTTTTTGATGAGATAAAGGACATAGTACCTTTAAGTATGTTAAGTACACGGCAGAAATTAGGTGAGCCCCTAATACATTTAAATATCTATGGTTAGCTTAAAAAAAATTGTTGTAAAATGTACATAGCATAAAATTTACTGTTAACCAGTGTTTAATTTAGTGGCATTGAGTACATTTATAATGTTGTCCAACTGTCACCGCTACCTCGTTCTAGAACATTTTTCATTATCCCCAAAGGCAGCCCCATACTCATTAAACAGTCACTCCCCACTCTTTCCTCGCCTAGAACCTGGCAGCTACTTGTCTGCTTTTTGTTGCTACAGACTTGGCTATTCTAGATGTTTCATGTAAATGGGGACAGACAATATGTGACCGATTTCACTTAGCTCCATGTTTTCAAGATTTCTTCCATGCTGTAGCATGAGTTAGTATGCATCCCTGTTTATGGTTGAATTAAGTTCTCCGTTTTATGGAGATACCACGTGTGTGTCCATTTATCAGTTGATGGACATTTGGGTTGTTTCCGCCTTTTGGCTATTTAAAATAACACATTCTGTTTGAACACCTGTCTTTCACTTCTAGGCGTTTGGTTGCTGGGCCATACAGTATTTTATGTTTCACCTTAACTTATGAGGAACCCCGAAACTATTTTCAACAGCTCTTGTACTACTTTACATTCCAACTAGTTATATAAGAGTTTCAGTTTCTCCAATCCTTGCCAGTTCTTGCTTTCCTTTTTAAGACAGTGATAGCCAAAAAAAAAAAAAAAAAGAAAGAAAGTGATAGCCATCCTGGTGAAAGTAAATGCTACCACTGTGGTTTTGGTTTGCATTTTTCTCTGACGACTAATGATAGCATCTTTTCATGTGCTTGTTGGTCATTTGTATATCTTGTTTGGAGAAATGGCCATTCAAGTTCTTTGCCTTTTTTTTGGCTGTGCTATGCAGTTTGTGGGATCTTAGTTCCTCCACTAGGGATTGAACCTGGGGCTCTTGGCAGTGAAAGTGTGGAGTTCTTACCATGGGACTGCCAGGCAGTTCCATTTGCTATTTCTTAATTGGCTTATATACCTTGTTGAGTTGTAGGAGTTCTGGATAGTAGATCCTTACTAAATAGATGTGTGATTTGGAAGTATTTATTTTCATTTTGTTGGTTTTTACAGTCAGTCGCAATTTTTATGTTTTATGTAACTTCTTCCTTTAAATTCCAACTTTAAGGAGTTCTCTAGTGGCCTAGTGGTTAAGATTTTGGGCTTCAGTGATGTGACCTGGGTTTAATCCCTGCTCAGGGAACTGAGAATGCCACAAGCCTCGTGCATGGCAAAGAAAAAAAAAGGAAGAAAAATAAAACTCCAGCCTTAAATGATAAACAGGTTTCTAGGAATAAAGGTTTTACTCTAGAATTTATAAAATCTCTTCATGTTACTGCTTTTTTTTTATTAAATGTGTAATTTGATGCTGGACAGATAAAATATAATTCCATATAAATCAAAGTTTATTATGCTTGAGTAAAACTATGCCTTAACCACAATTCTCTGTTAACTAGAGGTCCGTACATAGGTATTCAGAGGGCTGGCTAGCAGTCTTAATCTTTGAAGGTTATGTAATTTAGTGATTTTTCTAAAATTATTTTCCTTATGTTTTAGGTATTTACGTATGGGATGTTGAAGGCAGAAAATATTTTGACTTTCTGAGTGCTTACAGTGCTGTCAACCAGGGGCATTGTCATCCAAAGATTGTGGATGCTTTGAAAAGTCAGGTGGACAAGTTGACCTTAACATCTAGGGCTTTCTACAACAATGTGCTTGGTGAATACGAAGAGTATGTTACTAAACTTTTCAACTACCACAAAGTTCTTCCAATGAATACAGGTAAAATATTTCCTTTTTTTTTTTTTTTTTGGTTAAAAAGCCAAGAAAATCTTATTATTTTCTGGTAACTTGAAACATTTTTTAAAACTGATATTTTAAAATGTTCCCTTGGGTAGGAGTGGAGGCTGGAGAGACTGCTTGCAAGCTTGCTCGTAAATGGGGGTATACCGTCAAGGGGATCCCAAAATACAAGGCAAAGATTGTTTTTGCAGGTATGTGAAATTCAGTGTTAGCTGCTATGATTGAAACATACAATTATTAGTTTCCATTTTAACTTATGATGAGATATTGCAAATGTATTTGTCTCGTATATGTTATATCGAGGCTTCCCAGGTGGTACTAGTGGTAAAGAACCCGCCTGTTGCATGAGACCTAAGAGGTGTGGTTTCCCTTCTTGGGTTGGGAAGATCCCCTGGAGAAGGAAATGGCATAGACACAGGAGCCTGGGGGGCTACAGTCCAGAGTCTCGAAGAGTCGACATGACAAGTGACCGAGCCACGCATGATGCATTGAATGTTGCATAAAAATTGAGAGATTTCCTTCTCTTGGGTTCATTTCCAAGTATTTCTTGGATGCTCCTAATAACTCCCTACCTCTCCCTCCCTAGAGGGAGTGAATGTGTGGTTTATTTCCCATCTGCTTATCTGATTTTTTTCATAGCAGTTTTCTGGTTAACGAGACAGTTTTGCTGATGCGAGCATCATACAAAAATGTTGCAGCAGTTTTGTGAGGTTATGGAGGTTGGGTTATGTTCATGTAGGGTCACGTCCTAGGTATGATACGAAGTTTGAACCTTAGTGTATCTCAAACACTATGAGATTTTATTGTGCCAAGTTGTTAAAAGCTGTTGGACGAGGAGGGCTGGCATTGCCCCCGGTATATTTCTATGAATGGTTGAGAGGAATGACTCGTGTACTGAGTAGGGAGACCAACAGTTAATTTAGATTATTGATTTAGTCTGAGTTTGGGATAGGTTCTGACTTCTTCTTTTCTAAAACTTTGATTTTAATTTTTAAAAACATATGGAGAAATTTGTCACTGCACACGGTCGAGATTCTTTCTTGTGATGGTTGAAATTGTGAAATACTTTGCCTTATGAACACACGTAGCTAAATTATACGCCCCATAATACAGTAGAATCTAGAGTTCATCTGATGGCCAGCCGAAGTTGGTGTCTGGGGAGGGGGCGGCGACTGATTCCTGTTTCCGAGGAAGAAATAGTCTCTGCCCAGCTCTCTGATCTGCCATTTTGAAATCTTGTGCCTTTAGTTGCAAGGCAACATAACTCTCTCTTACAAACAAAAATGGCCTTTCTGGTGACTTTCCTCCTTACAGACCATGGCCAGTCTCTCTCATATTAGCACAGGGCACAAAGATGTTTCTTCCAGGTGCTGAGAGAAGTCAGTAGGAAGAGACAGAGGACTGTCTGTCCCCAGGTGCAATCCCTGATTCAGCAGGGTCAGCTCGGGGCGTGAGCCTGCTGAGGCCGATGGCGGAGAGCAAGTAGGCTGTTGGCATACTTTGTCTTAAACGAGCCTGGGCAGAATCAATAATGCTGTTGCTTGTAGACAAGTCAAGTAGGGATTACTCATAGCTGAGAGAGGCTCTGCAGGGGTTGTACTGAAGGATGCTATAGGGCCAACTTGGAATAATTCAGTTCAGTTCAGTCACTCAGTCGTGTCTGACTCTTTGCTATCCATGGACCGCAGCACGCCAGGCCTCTCTGTCCATCTCAACTCCCAGAGTTTATTCAAACTCGTGTCCATTGACTCGGTGATGTCATCCAACCATCTCATCCTCTGTTGTCCCCTTCTCCTCCTGCCCTCAATCTTTCCCAGCATCAGGGTTTTTTCAACTGAGTCAGTTCTTCACATCAGGTGGCCAAATTATTAGAGTTTCAATTCAGCTTCAGCATCAATCCTTCCAATGAATATTCTGGACTGATCTCCTTTAGGATGAACTGGTTGGATCTCCTTGTAGTCCAAGGGACTCTCAAGAGTTTTCTCCAGTGCCACAGTTCAAAAGCATAATTCAGCACTGGGTTAGCTGAGTTGCTGCTGGCAGAGGGGGTGAGAAGATATCTTTTTAAAAAGTGGGAGACTCTCCAAGCCTCTCTTACTCTAGTCTGTTTCTTTTCTTCCTTGAATTTAACCACGTTGAAGTTACCTTGTACGTTTGCTTTATTGGTTTGTCATGGTGTGTCTTCCCTAATAGCATAGAAGCTCCTTGGGGGCAGGGACCTTGCCAGTCATCATTCTGTGCCCAGCACCTAGAGCAGTGTCTGACATTATTAATCAGTCCTCAGATTACTAATGAAACAAACTAATGGGTAAAAATTGTTCCTGAATAAAGGTCAATATCTGTCTTCTAGCACATAATAGCTTATGACACCACGGAAGGCAAATTGAAAGTGTTCAGACTGCCTGAGGAAATTTTATCCAAATGAAATGTAAAACTCATTCTGTAGAATAGTTAGCCTATAGTGTTGGATTTTTAAAAGGAAAACTGCAAATTCTCTATGAAGGATAGTCATTTTCTCATGTCATTATCATAAATGTGTCTAGAAAAACCGTCTCTAGAAAAACATGTGTTGAATGCTTCAGTTTTTAGGGTTTGGGATTATTGAAAGAAAAGACAAATCTCTCTCCTCAGGGGCCATGCTGTGTATTATAGTTGGGAGACTCGGTAGAGCGGTCCTAAAAGAGGAATCACAAGGCCAGACCTCAGCGGGCACATGAACCGGGGGTGTTTAGTATCCAGCATTGTTTAAACAGATCAGCTCACTGGAGGCTCTCTAAAGCGAACCCTTGCTTTTTGAAAAAAAAAAAAATCAAGCTTCTGGGAATTCTGTGGTGATCTAGAGGTTAGGACTTCTCTACTTCTCTTGCAGTGGGTAGGAGTTTGATCCCTCGTCCAGGAACTAAGATCCCACAAGTAGTGGATTGTGACCAGGATTAAAAAAAAAAGCTTTCTGGAGTATTTTTGGGGAACTGTGATATTAAATTGGATGGTTTGTTTGAAAAAAAAATGACTGTTTATTTCTTCTTTCTAGCTGGAAACTTTTGGGGTAGAACATTGTCTGCTATCTCCAGTTCCACTGACCCAACCAGTTATGATGGTTTTGGACCATTTATGCCAGGTTTCGAAATCATTCCGTATAATGATCTGCCTGCCCTTGAGGTACTTCACCTAGTGTCACGGTACTTTAGCTCATAGTACATAGAACCTGCGTTTGTTGAATGTATGAATTAAAAACGGACATCTGATTGTACTGAGAGTCACATATCTCATAACTTACATTTAAGTTAGGCCAGGATTCACACTTATTCTCTGTAACGGTCAGTTAGTTTATAACATGTGGAAACCAGGTTCCGTGGTCTATTCCTGACCACCAACCAACCACTTCAGATTTGTTTCCTACGTAAGTATTAATTTGAGTATTACCTGTTAATTACTTTAATAGACAAGATTAGTCAGTTTTCAGCCAGGTTTTTAAAATTATGAAGTGGAAGACTTCCAAAATAAAAAGATACACTTCTAATGTATCTATTTAATGGCGTTTTTAAAGGCCACTTTCACTAGTTTTTATTGACAGTACATTTGAATATTATATTAGAAAATACAGGATGGAGTAGCTTAAAGCTGAGATATTTTTAGCTTTTGGTAATTGATTGTCAGAAAAGTTGTACAGACTTCTTGGAAGTCAGAATATAAGTTAGTGTAGAAACTTAATTTGCGTACTTACTCTTATGGGAAAATATGTGCATTGTGTGACTTCAGATTTCCAAATAGATTGGAAAGGAAGTTACTAAGAGCATACTCATGCTGTTTCCATAGCGTGCGCTTCAGGACCCAAACGTCGCCGCATTCATGGTGGAACCAATCCAGGGTGAAGCAGGCGTTGTTGTTCCGGATCCAGGCTACCTCGTGGGAGTCCGCGAGCTGTGCACCCAGCACCAGGTCAAAGCCGCCCACTTGCCTGCCTTGCTTAGGGTTTGGCCGATAGGAAAGCTCCAAGATTGCATCACTTTTCCACTAGAAGGAGGCTTCATTCTAAGAGCCTCCAAGCTTTCTAGGGCTGATAGAACTTTCTAGCAGCAGGCTGCAGAGAAGCTGACTTTACTGGCAGGGCCCTGGTGGACCCTCTGCCTGGCCCCTTCCTCTCTGCCCCAGCAGCCTCTGCTTGGATTCTTCTCAAAGCCTTTGTCGTATCCCTTTGCTCCAGAATTTAACCTCTCTCCCCCTCTTCTTCCACCAAACTGGTAAATGTTGATAAGATGTACATATTAACAAATGGTTGTGAAATAAACAGAAATCTGTTCCCAGAGAGTAGTTCTATTCAGAAACCCGCCCCCAAAACCCTCACTTTGCATACCTGCCCTTCCACTGTGGGCCTCTGGGGACAGGGTGGCCTGACACAGGAAATAACTGTGTCCCGCACCATTGAAGTCACGTGGATAATTAAAATGTTTTCACGAATCTGAGGGGATGCCACGAATGACGCATTCGTGCAGGAAAGAGTAAAATAAAGATAAGTATTTCGCTATGAAAATAATTTATTATTTTCATATGCTATTTTCATTTATGCTATTTTGTTGTTTTCCAATAGGTTCTGTTTATTGCTGATGAAATACAGACAGGCTTGGCCAGAACTGGGAGATGGCTGGCTATTGACCACGAAAATGTCCGACCTGATATTGTCCTTCTAGGAAAGGCACTTTCTGGTGGTTTATACCCTGTAAGTTGAATGCTCAACCGCTCTTTGTATTTTCCCTGTTCTCATGAATCCCTGAGATATTTTTACATTACCGGCTGCCTTTCTGAGGGTTTGGTTTTACTTAGTGTGGTTTATATACATAGGTCACCTGGAATACGTGTGATAAAAACATTTCAGAATTCCATGGTTAACCCCACTTAGTTTAACTGATGAATTGAGTGTCCCTTGGGTTTGCTGCACTGCATTTATTTTGGATGGAACCATTTTATCTCCAGAGTACTCCTGTAGACGTCTAGGCTTTTCCCCCATAGTTCAGAAACATACTAATTGTTTAAAACCATTGACCGATTAATGCAGAGATTGAAAAAAATTAACGTTTAGTTGTTAATCCTTTTCTCGGGTTTGCTATTCAGAGCCAACAGTTGGTATGGATTAAAGGGCTCTGAATGTGTAGTGCAGAACATTGTTTTCTAAACAATTAAAGCATTTCACCCTGAGAGTGGAAAGAATTTTAAATGTATCACTGCAGAAATAGCTTTGTTTTAGTTCCGAAAGATGACTCCGGTACCGCTGAAGCGTGCCCAGTGTGCTTGGAGCATGTTCGGGCAGTCCTCGTTTTGTCACCGGCGGTCAGGGAGGCTGGCGTGTGGCCCTGGTTGGTTGAAGCTTCATGTCAGATTTAACATCTGCTTCGTAAATACCTGTGTTTCCATAAGAGTAAGAGTGGTCCATCTGAGAAGAGACTTGGTCTGCGCCTAATTCTCTTTTTTGTCTTCTAGGTGTCCGCAGTGTTGTGTGATGATGAAATAATGCTGACCATTAAGCCGGGGGAGCATGGTTCTACGTACGGAGGCAATCCGCTGGGCTGCCGAGTGGCCATCGCAGCCCTGGAGGTAAACCTGATGGCAGCTCTCAGGAGAGCCGACCGGCCCATCCTAAGGGAAATCAGCCCTGACATTCGTCGGGAGGACTGATGCTGACGCTGACACTTCAGTACTGTGGCCACCTGATGCAAAGAGCTGACTCATTGGAAAAGACCCTGATGCTGGGAAAGATTGAGGGCAGGAGGAGAAGGGGACAACAGAGGATGAGAGGGTTGGATGGCATCACTGACTCAATGGACATGAGTTTGAGTGAACTCTGAGCTGGTGATGGACAGGGAGGCCTGGCATGCTGCAGTTCATGGGGTCGCAGAGTCAGACACGACTGAGCGATTGAACTGAACTATATGGTAGCCAGTATCCTGGAAGTGGTGCTGAAGTGACTCTTAAGTCTGAGCTCACTGGTGTAATAAGAAATGTTACAAGATTGCAGTGTATTACAGAACGTGAAGTATAGAGAAGGATTGCATGGGTTTCCCAAGTTTTCAGTCTCCCGGGGCTTTAGCCTGCAGGTCCTGGCCTGTCCACCTAGAGCTCTCCCTCTGTGGCCAGGCTGGCCTGTGAGCCTCTGGCTTAGCCCACGTGGTTTCTTATTATTGTCGTTAAAGCGAGGATTTGAATGCTTTCAGACTTACTCCTCAAGTGCCTACAAAAGGCATAAAATTATTATGTAATCTCTGAGGATGGACTTTTTAGGAGGAAAAAGAAGCCAAAGGACGTTCTGTTGCAATTAAAAAATTAAAATGTGTTCAGTCCATTGATTTATTTACCTAAGAAGAAAATTTATCAATTGCATTAAACAAATTTAATCCTTATTTTGCTACAGAACAGATTAATGGTGGGTTTTTGCATAAAGCAAGGCTTTGTCTAAGTGAGTGTCTGTTACATGATGAGAAATCAAACTGGTATAAACTTTGAAAAATAGAAGTGAAAGTTAAGTTACTCTGGTCTTTATCTGATCCTCTTCTTCCTTTGCTTGTAGTTCACATTCCCCTCCAAAGAGCAACATTAAAAAAAAAAAGGCAGTCTTTAATATATGTATAATTTCTCTTGAAACATAGGTTTTGGAAGAAGAAAACCTTGCTGAAAATGCAGAGAAAATGGGTATCATCTTGAGAAATGAACTCATGAAGCTGCCTTCTGATGTTGTAACGACTGTAAGAGGAAAAGGATTACTAAATGCTATTGTTATCAGAGAAACCAAAGGTATGGAGACACAATATTTTACAAGGTACTATTCTTATAGGAGAAGCTCAAAATGCAAATGGTATTTTCTTTGGTCGTTGGGTTCCTCTGTTTGAAACTGTTGACTGGCCTCCTATCGACCAAGTCGTTGGCTCTGCCTGATACTCTTCTGGGCTTCCCAAGTAGTGCTAGTGGTAAAGAACCTGCCTGCCAGTCCTGGAGAGCCAGAGACACGGATTTGACCCCTGGGTCGGGAAGATCCCCTGGAGGAGGGCATGGCAAACCACTCCAGTATTCTTGCCTGGAGAATCCCATGGACAGAGGAGCCTGGTGGGTTACAGTCCATGGTGTTGCAGAGAGCCGGGACACGACTGAGGCAACTTAGCACATACACATGCAGTACTCTTATTACCTGATTTATATTAATGGTCTTAAAAATACAGCTGTTTCCTACAAGAAGGCATATTTGACTAATTTCACCCGTTTGTATTCCTTCAAGTCATTTGTTATTCCGTCATCAAGTTATTTGTTATGCAAGGTTATTTATACAGTACTTGGAGAGTTCAGTTTGTTTTCAGTTAGGAAGACTGCCCAGAGCACTTTGCAGTTTCCTGCCTGCTCTCCTTTCCTCCCTCACTTTGCAGATCAGCAGAGATAGTAGGAGCAGCAGTAATAATAGGAATGATAACGGTGATGTTGGTAATAAAAATAACCCCAGGTGCCACTTAACTGAGCGTTTGGTGTTTAACACATCATTTGTAACCCATAAGCGTTCCTGGCTGGATTTTCTTGCCATAACCCTTCCTTTTCAAAGCAATGGTTTTAACCTTGACTGCATTTTAGAATCACCTAGGGAGCTTTTTAACAAATTAATCCAAGCCTAGCCTCATGGCAAAGACTCTGATTTGATGGGTCTAGAGCGGGGCTCAGGCACTGGCCGCGGCCCCTTCGATGTTTCTGTTGCACTCAGGGTTTTCAGGATCCCGAGAGTCTAATTCTACCTGCTTAGGAAGCAAATCCAGGTTAGAAACCTGTAATGGTCACTGGGTTTGAATGTTGCTTATTCTGTGCCTGTTAGTTATCTGTATCATACCCTAGTTCTTGTATGCATTGGTTCCTCATATAATTAATTATATCTGCCTTAGCATGTGATTTTTATGCTAGGTCGAAAACGAGACAAAAACCATATCTGCTCATAGCATTCAAACCATTGCTGAAAAGTAAGTTCATTTTTAAGAGTGAGAACCAGAAGTGAGCTTGCAGCTCAGAGCTGCCTTTCTTGAGTGACAGTGACAGTGATGTCGCTCAGTCAAGGCCAACTCTGTGCGACCCCGTGGACTGCAGCCCGCCAGGCTCCTCCATCCATGGGATTTTCCAGGCAGGAGTACTGGAGTGGGTTGCCATTTCCTTCTCCAGGGGATCTTCCTGACCCAGAGATGGAACCTGGGTCTCCCGCATTTCAGGCAGACACTTGACCTATTGGGAATTCTGTTCTTGCCAGGCCGCCCCCACCCCTGCAGGCTCCTTATCATTGATCAGCATACACTTGACGGTTTTTCTTTAGATTGTGATGCTTGGAAGGTGTGTCTGCGACTTCGAGATAATGGACTTCTGGCCAAGCCAACCCACGGCGACATCATCAGGTTTGCGCCCCCGCTTGTGATCAAGGAGGATGAGATTCTAGAGGCGGTGGAGATCATTAACAAGACCATCCTGTCTTTCTGAGGGTGGTGACAGTTTTCAGTGGTGCCTGGGAGCCAGCTGGAGACATGTGGTTCATAAAGCTCTGAGTTTCTGTGCTTAATGCAGGCATATTCCACTCCTCCATATCAAGGGCTTTAAAAAATATATATATATATGTTTTTCAGTTCATGTATAACAGAATGACTTTTATAGACATGCAGTTTGCTATGTAACATAATTAAGAGAATGTCCTGGTATCTTATATTTGATTAAGTTGTTTTTGTGCTTATATTCTTTCTAAGATGAGGTGCCTTTCTATATAGACAGCCTTTTAATCAAGCCCCTCAGCATAATTTATATATGTTTTAATAATTTCCTTGCTGGTACAAATGTTTGTATTTGAGAAAGTTATATTAGTATTGCCTGGAAGACTTGCTTAACCTTATAAAGTTGAATCATAATCATTGAATTTTAGCAAGGATGAATGGTTAAGCTGACACAAGTCAACTCCATATTGGCTGGCATCAAGACGTATTCTGTGAATGTCATTACTTTGAATTAAGAATTAATGTTCAACATTCCTAGATTATGTTTTAAATGTTCCATATAATTTGTAAAAAGTGTTTGTTTTCAGTATATCTTCAAAATAAATCTCATGTCTGAAATGTCTATGTTAGGGACCAGTGTGTGGTTACTGCAGTGTTATCGGTTACCTCACATTTTAAGCTCTCTGAGAATGTTTTTATTTGCTTTGTTTCTTGTGTTCTCTAAGAACATTTCAGTTTGTTTGGTAATCTCTAGAAAAAGAGAAATTATAAAAAGAAAGTTTCTTTTAGTACTCCTTCTCTGCTTTCAAAATAACCGCTCTTTTCCCATGTGTATACTAGTACTTGGCATTTTTATTAAAGCATCCTTGTTATGCCTGGAATTGTGCAACTTCTTATTTGTTTATTTTTTTACCTGTGCAGGGTATTTGGGATGTTTTTCTATGTCGGTAAGTTTTATCTCGTTCTCTTTGAGTTGATCTAAGAAAGAAATGGAAAAATTTATTCGAGCCAAACTGAGGATTATAACCTGGGAACAGCCTCTCAGAAAGCCCTGAGAACTATTCCTCCCATTAGAAGTCAAAACTCAGTTTTGCCTAAGTTTTTTGAGACTTGATGACGCATTATTGACAGCTTACACAATCGGTGAGTTATGGGTCATGGGTCATCTTGGCCCTTACAAGATTAAGAAGGAATGTGGGACTTCCTGGCGGTCCAGTGATTTAAGACTCTGCCCTTCCACTGCAGGGGGCATGGGTTCCAGTAAGCCCAGTGGCATGACAAAAAAAAAAGGGAAGGAATGTTGTCTTAAAGGAGTTGTCTTTTTGGTGCTAGAAAGTGTTGCTCTTTATGGTTGAGCAGGTATTTCTGCCAATGGGCAGGTTTGGTTGCTGCTTAACTGAGACACACACTACACAGTAGAAGGGAGAGAGGAGGCCAAAAGGGCAGAGAGAATCTGTTTAAATTTCTCTTGTCTTGCCACAAAACATGAATTTTATTTTCACACTCTATGTCCATAGTATTTTATCTTAAGTGGGTATATTATAATTTTGTATCAGAAAACATGAATTTTATGTCACACTCTATGACTATAGTATTTTATCTTAAGTGGGTATATTATAATTTTGTATCAGAAAGCATGAATTTTATGTTCACACTCTATGACGATAGTATTTTATCTTAAATGGGCATGTTAGACTTCTGTAGTAGAAAACATTTGGTTATCTTCAGTTTTTTACTTTTTTGTCTTTTAGAAGTGGAATGTAATTTTAATAGTTGTTTTTAATACATTAGACGTCACCGTGTAAAAATCTAAGGCATATAGCACAATGGTGTGATATCGTGATCAGTTTTTCACTCTTTAAAAGGCTGGTTGTGACCACTTTGTATCTTGTGTGTGAGTGTCTCAGTGGAGTAGATCCTTCTGGGTGAGTCGCTGCGTCAAAGGGAACAGCTTGTCATCAGTAGTGACACATTGCTCCCTGCACCCCCTCCCTCCCCCGCAAGAAGCTCGCAAGTCACCTCTTAGCAGCTTGGACGTTAGAGATCAAATTTGAGCCGGGGGTCTGCTCATACCAGTGGCAGTGCTTACTGGCCTGACTGGGGGGTTCTGGCTTGGACCTGCCTGGCCCCCTGCAGTCTGTATAGGACACACAGCTGAAGTAAGGGTCTTCCTAAACGGTCAGAGACTGCTAGTTCTCTGCCCTGGCTGGGACTGTAAGACCGGGGTTAAGGTTGGTGCTGCTTCCAATCAGACTTCCGTGGTGGCTCAGACAGTGGCTTATTGTCTGCCTACAATGCGGGAGACCTGGGTTCCATCCCTAGGTCTGGAAGATCCCCTGGAGAAGGAAATGGCAACCCACTCCAGTATTCTTGTCTGGAGAATCCCATGGACAGAGGATCGTGGTGGGCTACTGTCCACGGGGCCCAGAGAGTCTGACAACTGAGCGACGTCACTTTGACTGCTTCCAATCAGATCACCTTTTGCACATCAAAGGCACCGGGGTTTCTCAGGCCTTACCCCAGGCTGGACTCTCTGGGGCTGCACTCAGGCCTCAGTAACTTTAAAGGTCCTCAGGTGACTGTGTGCCCTCAGGGCTGAGAACTTGCTTTAGGAATCTCACCTAACTGCAGATTCTGATTCGGTGAGATTCTGCCTCTCCTGTAAGCTCCCAGTAGATGGAGGTGCTGATGCTGCCTTGAGGCATAAGATCCTGATCAAGAGTAAGTTACATTCCGCCGTTCTCAGCCTTGGGAAAAGGCCTAAAGGCAAGGTGAATTTAACAAAACAACAAACTTCCTGCTGAATTCTTTGAGGGTCTTAATGGTTTGATGGTTTCCCTTGTGGCTCAGATGGTTAAAGAATCTGCCTGCCGGGATGTTTCAGGAGAACAGCATTGAAACATGTATATTATCTAGGGTGAAACAGATCACCAGCCTAGGTTGGGTGCATGAGACAAGTGCTCGGGCCTGGTGCACTGGGAAGACCCAGAGGGATCGGGTGGAGAGGGAGGTGGGAGGGGGGACTGGGATGGGGAGTACATGTAAATCCATGGCTAATTCATATCAATGTATAACAAAAACTACTGTAATGATGTAAAGTAATTAGCCTCCAACTAATAAAAATTAAAAAAAAAAAAAAAAAGAATCTGCCTGCATGCAGGAGATCCCTGGGTTGGAAAGATCCCCTGGAGGAGGGAATGGCTGCCCACCTCAGTATTCCTGCCCAGAGAATTCCATGGAAAGAGGAGCCGGGAGGGCTACACAGTCCTTGGGATCTCAGAGAGTCAGATGAGACTGGGCAGCTAACACTTTCACATTGGATTAAGGTCCACCCTAATGACCTCATTTTAACTTAATTGTCACTTTAAAGACTTGATCTCTGAATGCAGTCACATTCTGAGGTTCTAGAGATTAGTACTTCACCACAGGAGTGTGGGAAGGGGGAAATAATTCAGCCCCAAACCCCAACAATGTAGTGTTTTTGGATCCTGACCTTTTAGGACACCTCATCTAAATTCGGGCTTCCCTGTTAGCTCAGAATCCACCTGTAATGCAGAATACACCGGTTTGATTCCTGGGTCCGGAAGATCCTCTGGAGAAGGGATAGGCTACCCGCTCCAGTATTCTTGGGCTTCCCTTGTGGCTCAGCTGGTAAAGAATCCACCTGTGATGTGGGAAACCTGGGTTGGGAAGATCCCCTGGAGAAGGGNCGGAAGATCCTCTGGAGAAGGGATAGGCTACCCGCTCCAGTATTCTTGGGCTTCCCTTGTGGCTCAGCTGGTAAAGAATCCACCTGTGATGTGGGAAACCTGGGTTGGGAAGATCCCCTGGAGAAGGGGAAGGCTACCCACTCCAGTATTCTGGCCTGGAGAATTACATGGACTGGATAGTCCATGTGGTCTCAAAGAGTCGACTTTCACTTTCATCTAAATTAATCATTGCACACACAAACTAAGCTTGGGACAGGATGTCTGATTTACCCTGGATGAAGCAGAATTATAAAGGTGAAATTACAATGTGTTTCAGGCACTGGGAATTTAAAGATCCCAGCTTCCTCCCAACAGGAAGGGGACCACCATGTGGGGACCACTTGTAGGTTTAGATCTCTGCTTCTCAACACTGGCTGCCTATTGAGGTCACCTGGAGTGCATAAGAATTAATGTTCAGGCCCCACCTCAAATCAATTCCATCACAATCTCTGGGGATAGGACCTAGGTATCTGTATATTAAATGCTCCCCAGTGGAGTCTAGTGTGCAGCCTTTGCAAAATGGGTATTGAATGTGGAGGCGTGAGTGACTACTGATTGTGCAAGATGTCATTCACTCAACCTACCACGCCAGGCACCGATAGAGGAGCCTGTCTACAGTCCGTGGGGTCTACAGAGGAGCCTGTCTATAGTCTGTGGGGTCACAGAAGAGTTGGACACGACTTAGTGACTAAATAACACGAACAAGTTACAAGTACAGTTATTTGAAAACTATTATGTACCGTGTGGAGAGGAGAGGCAGTGCTTCCAAGAAATAACATTTATTAGTATGTGCTAGGTGCTATTCCAAACGTGATAGGTTTCATCACAGGTGCTAACACCCCCGTTATTTTACAGAGGAGAAAACCAAGGCTTAGAGAGACAAACTGGCCTTGGGTCACTGGAATAGTAAGAGGCGGAGCCCTGGAGTCCTGAGTGGGCTGGACCAGACTTCTGCAGGGAGGCAGGAGATAGTCCAGGTGCTCCTGTGGCCGGAGGGACAGGGGCCAGCTCCTCCATTTGGCTCTGGAGCATGGCTGAGAGGCCCCAGGTGTACGGAAGAGCATTTCAATCAGTTTCTAACTTGGGGGATGGATTCTTAAAAATACTAGCAGGAGCCATTCAAATAAATAATAGATACACAAAAGCAGCTTAGTCCCTTTAGGAAAAACCCTTTAAAATATATTTCAGGCCTTACTCTACTGTTTGGTGCATGTTTAATGGTTCGGAGGAGTTTTATTAGCTCCCAGCCTTTATTTTGATTACCGTGGAAATGAGATTTCTCCCCCATGCCTTGGTCCAGTCCCTCAAATCGTTAATGAAATATCAGAGCTAATATGGTTTTTATAATTTGTATCACAATACTTAAGTGCAGAGCAGATGGCAGCTAAAGATGAATGGGAGTAAGGCAGAAATTGGCTCAAAGCCTTCTGTTCAGTAGGACTGTTTATGATTCTGGTTCCTGAATAAATGGGCCGTGGCTGGCCGGGGTGCCTTCTGATCGTGGTGGCTTTCCCCCCAGGCTATTGGGGTACATCTTCCCCTCTGCAGTGAGAAGTGAAGGATGCTAGTAAGTTCTGTCAGTCTCCTGTCATCTTTTTATCACAAAGCACTTTGATTTAGGGGTTTCTAAGGGCCTAAAGAATGGATCCAACCAGTCCATCCTAAAGCTCACTGGAAGGACTGATGTTGAAGCTGAAACTCCAATACTTTGGCCACCTGCTGCGAAGAGCTGACTCATTGGAAAAGACCCTGATGCTGGGAAAGATTGAAGGCAGGAGAAGATGGTTGGATGACATCACCGACTCAATGGACATGAGTTTGGGTAAACTCCTGGGGGTTGGTGGTGGACAGGGATGCCTGGCGTGCTGCAGTCAATGGGATTGCAAAGAGTCAGACACGACTGAGCGACTGAACTAAACTGAAAGGCCTAAAGTGAAAGTGAAAGTCACTCAGTCATGTCTGACTCTTTGCAACCCCAATGAACTATACAGTCCATGGAATTCTCCAGGCAAGAATACTGGAGTGGGTAGCCTATCCCTTCTCCAGGGGATCTTCCCGACCCAGGAATTGAACCGGGGTCTCCTGCATTGCAGGTGGGTTCTTTACCAACGGAACTCTCAGGGAAGCCCACT